CAGTCCTCCTGGCACTTAACAGCATATACAACATTGCTCTGTTTGTGCCGGGGCACCGGATCTTTGGGGTGAACCAGCCTTCAAAACGCAAATATTGGTCTGTGTGGGTGGGCTTACGATACACGCCAGTTTCCAACCGTCCTCCATCCGAAACCGAGACATCGCAATCCAGGAACGCCAACCTGCCATTTTTTACATCCTCTCGTGTGAACTTAATATATTCATCCACAGAGTTGATGTGATCAGTGAAATGTTGGACTTCCTGGGCTTTAATTTTAACCCAGRTGTCGTCAACATATCTGAACCACACTGTGTTTTACAAACTTATAAACTATCATTTGCAGCCTATTTAATCCAGTTAAAATTATATCAAGGGGGATTACCACAAGTATTTATTTTTTCTTCTTCACAAGTTTGGTTGTTTCCTTTGTTCTGACATGTATGAAGTACCACAAAATGTTCTGTTATATAGTTCTTTTATTTTAGAATGTAACAAAGCACAGTTTAGTTTAAAACCTACAGAGCTCCAGGTGTTTCCTGCTCACGTATCTTTTGTGATTGGTGCAGAAATGGTTTGTTTTGATGGGAAAGGTGACTCCTGCTGGAGATCTACTAGAAATGTTTGTTGTGGGTGAAAATAAAAATGCAACGTGCCATCTTTCCACTGAACTGTAGCTGAGTTTTATCCTGCTTCATGTCAGCTCACAGCTTTCAACATGATGAAAACTGCTGAAGAAGCAGTAAATCCACAGGTCCTGTCAAATATATTCACTACCTGGGTTTTTATTAGTCAATGTTTTTTGACAGCAATTAAAACTTAAACCATACTTTTCACAGGCACGGTATGAACTGATATGAGCACAGGAACAGACTTTTATGGAAATATAACAATTGATGAAATGAGGCAATGAAACATTAAGAAAACAACATTTAACATGTGAAAACCCTTATTGCTAACAGTCATTTATTAATAACACCAGCAGATAAATGGTTTCAAACAATCAGAAGAAAAACATACATTGTGTTAAAAACAAGACAAGCTAAAGATTGTTGGTGATTTGGTTGTTGACACAGATCATATGTAACAAACTAAACACTGACAACACTTTAATACCAGACTTTTACAACTAACTGATTCCTGAGTGAAATGTGTGCACACAAAACAAGACTGCACATCTCATGTGGTTCATTTGTTCAGTAAAAATACTGTAACAGTAAATTAGAATGGACTGTGAGGATCAAACCAGCAGGAGGCACTTGGACTGGTTTTAAAGGTGCAACAAACAATCTGCAGTTTCCTGTAACACTAAGGCATCTAGGCTCAACTAAAGTCCCATAAATGTAAACTATTTACAGGTGATGAAGCCTTAAATACAAACATTAACAGTGAAACAAAGAATCAGTCTGGCTCCTCCATCACTGCTGAGGTGATTTCATCAGAGACATGAAGCTTCTGCTCAGGGCTCCTGGAGGATTCACAGCCCTTTTCTTCACACAAACATCAGGTCAAATGACAGAAACAGCTTCACTGAACACAGAAAACAATTTAAAAAAGATGTTTCTGTGTAAAAGTGAAGATTTGTATTTATTTTTACAAACATCTTACATAGTTAATAAACATCTTAAAACATTGAGCGTGTTTAAAGTTTCTCCTCTTCAGGCTGTTTCAGTCAGGTTCACCCACAGCTGCTTTCAGCTGGGTTGTGAGTCTTTGCTGACATCATTCACTTTAAAACACGACTGTTAGTATTTGGTTATTAAAGCCTGAAGGAGAAAAGGATGAACTGATGAGGCTGAAGTAGTGCTGCTACACAATATTCTGTCATGTGAATGTATTTCAGTCATTAATGAAGTTTACTGTCATTAATTATAGTGATGCTGCATCTAATCTAACTTCAGCTGTTGAGGAAAAATGAACTTTTCCTGAAGGAGAATTTCAACAAAGTTGTTTTTTATGTCTGAAGTTCAAAACGTCCAACATGCAGAGCTTGATGTGAAAAAAACTGAAAACTTTACAGTTTCTTTGGGTAAAAAAAGATACGACTCTGAGGAGGGAGATCAAGTGTTGTAGCAGCTGCTGCTCTGCAGGAGGCGCTGTGATCCGATGACCCAGTCCTGAAAACACACAACCTTCATGTTACCTTATAACACAACACTTCAACACGTCAACACATCAACACGTCAACACATTAACACATTAACACATTAACACGTCAACACATGAACACGTCAACACATGAACACGTCAACACATGAACACATCAACACATGAACACGTCAACACATGAACACCTTAACACATTGTTAGAACAAAGTTGAGGTGGTTATTTTCATCATTCAAAATACTTGGCAGTGAGAGCTTGGGTCAACTTCCTTATTTTGAGAGTTTAATCATTGCTTAATTTTGGTCTT